GTAAATCAATAATAAATTTGTGGTAAATAATTAATAATTTAATATTAATCATTGAAAATTTAAAAGTAAATCAGTATAACTTAATAGTAAATCATCGACAACGTAATAGTTAATCAATGATAATTTAATAATAAATCATGTATATAATATGAATCTATAATAACTTGATAGTGAATCATAGATAATTTATGGTGATTCAGTGATAATTTTGTAATAAATTATCAAAAATTAAGTAGTAAATCAATAGTAACATAATAGTAAATATATAAAAATATCATACTAAATCATTGATAATTTAGCAATAAATCGCTAATAACGTACTAGTAAATTACTAATAACTTAGTTATAAATTAGTAATAATTTAGTAGTAAGTTAGTTAATCATTGATAACTTTTTAGTGAATTATTGGTTAATTAATAGTAAATCAATTATAACTATAAAATAATCATCAATAACCTAGTGGTAAATCAACAACAATTTAATAAAAATCATTCATAACTTAAAGTTAAATGATTCATAACTTAATGGCAAATTATTCAAAAATTAGAAGTAAATCATTGATAACTTAGTATATAAAATCTAATAATTGATAACTTAATTATTAATTATTGATAACCTTTTTTATACTAGAAGTTGAGGATTGAACCTTGGTTACTAGTAGAAATAAAGTCAAAATTGCAAGCAGAAGTGAAGTCAAAACTTTCATTTTAAAAGTTAGGATAAACCTACCACAAACCTATTCAATAAAAAAAATTAATGAAAAATTCTATACTTGAATAAAACAATAATGTTATCATATAAAATGAAAATTATCTCATATATTATTAGTGAACTTTTTAAATTACATGTTTCATAGTTATAAATGCATAACAATATATTAGTAATTCAATAATAAGTTAATAAAAACAAGCAATAACCTAGTTTTTAATTATTGATAACTTAATAATAAATCAATGATATCTTAATAGTAAATAAGTTTCAATTTAGTACCAATTAATTGATAAACTTAATAGTAAATTATAAATAATTTAGTAGTAAATCAATGATAATTTAATAGTTAATTACTGAAAACTTAAAAGTAAATCAATGTAACTTAGTAATAGTTAATCATCAATAACTTAATAGTAAATTATAGATAATTTAATATAAATTAGTGATAACTTGATAATGAATTATAGTTAATTTAGGTACAAATCTATGATGATTTTATAGTAAATAATCGAAAACTAAGTAGTAACTCAAACATAATAGTAAAAGCATAATAATATAATAGTAAATCATTGATAATTTAGATGTAAATTATTGATAGCTTAGGTGTAAATAACTAATAACTTAGTTATAAATCAATAATAATTTAATTTACTTATTACTAATAATTTTATAGTAAATCATCGATAAATTAATAATAAATCAATTATAACTTTATTTGGTAACATAATAGTAAATCACCAATAATTTAAAACTAAATCACTCATAAATTAGTAGAAAATCAATGCTAATTTAATAGTAAATAGCTTATAATTTAGCAATATATCATTGATAGCTTAGTAGTAAATTGTTGATAATATAATAGTTAATCATTAATAACATAATTTTCAATTATTGACAAATTTTTTTTATACTTAAAGTTGCAGGAATTGAACCTTGATTACTAGCAAAAATGAAGCTAGAAATTTCATCTTGGGAGACTAAGATAGACCTACCACGAGCCTATTCAATAAAAAAATTAAGTAAAAAAATTCTAAATTTGAATGAAACAATAATATTAGTATATAAAAAGAAAATTATCTTAGATTAGAACTGAACCCACACTTTCTTACAAGTATCCATTGTTAAATATATGATAACACAAATTTTATTAATGATTACTAAAAGTATATCATAAGTTACCAAAAAGTTAATTACTAAAATTATATCAAGAGATCACTAAAATTTTATCAATGATTACCAAAATTATATCATACGTTACCAAACTAATATCGAAGGGCATAAAAATTATATCGAATGTTATTAAATTTTATCAAAAGTTAGAAAAATCAAATTTATATTAAAAGTTATCAAATTTTACTTATATTATATCAAAATCAAAATTAAATTATTAGTATTTATCATAATTATCACAATATCAAAAAATTTATTTATTAAAATGAAATTTTAAATATAAAAATTGCACATGCTTAATTCACGTGCCAAAAACTAGTCAATTTTAAAAATTTAGTCCCATTCCAATGAATTTTATATCACATTTTTACCACTGGATTAAAAACAATCATTAACTGTGTAAATATTAGTGTGTGAGCTTTTTGTCAATTGGCTACATATGGTTTAGTGAGGCTAAAATTTTTGGCTGTTTGAATGACTGATGCAACAATATCTAAATTTACCTTCACATCTAATTTTGAATTACTTAATGTCTAGAATAATAAATAAATAAATGATGCCCTGATCTTTGTTGAGACTTGAGACTATTGCCTCCATAAATTAAAATTCGCATTATATGCAATTTTCATTCAAACAGGAAATATTTGATTTTTTTTTGCCAATTAGAATTCTTATGGAACTTTTAAACCGTCGCTGTCATGTATTATTTAATATAATCTTGCAAAAACATGAATTATTCTCTGATTTTTTACTGATTGAAGCTAAAAGCAAAAAATTTTTTTTAAAAGAAGTCATAGTCGGAAAGGCTAAGATAGAGGAAAGCATTATAAACATTAAGATTTAAATATCATATTTGGATGCCATCTCTTAAACTAGATGATTGCATGAACCAACTAAACTAAATTTTAAGTTCAAGAATAATTTTTTTTGAAACTATAAGAACTCCTGACGATTGCTAATACATCTGAATGTCGATTGGAATTCAACCTAAGAACAGTCCATTCCAACTCTTTTGGTTTTTTTTCCCCCAAAGATATAACACACTTGTTCCTCCCTGTAGCTTTATTAAACCTTTCTTTTTGTTATTCAATAGAGCCAGGTTCATCGAATTTTCTTTGACACAAAATTTTGAGCATAAAAAAGTCACCACGATCAGGTGAAGGGCCTGTTTGGAATCAGTTTATTCAGAAAATTACTAGAGATTAGTGAAGTTTTCCCACTTAATTGACTTAACTCAAGCGGTAATAGTAGATTAATTGAGACTTGGTTCGTGGCAGTATACCCTCTTAATTAAATCCAGACATAAAGACAAGAATAAAGGAAATTACTATTGTCTTTATCACAAATAAAAGAGAATTATTATTGTGCTAAAACAATATTGAGTTGATTCAATGCTTCTGCCTCTAGCCCTATACCATGGAATTGGAATATTTTTTAATGCTTAAAAGTTACTCTGTTTTACAAAAGCAGCATAATTGATCCAGTAATGTATAATTTCTGCTCATTTGAGTAAGAATTCTGTCCTGCCTTGTACGTTGCATAAAAATACGAGCACACATGTTCACGCAAGAGTGAGAGAGAGATATTGAAAATTTTACTATATATTCTGATTTTCATGCACAGAATAATATCTGTAAAACAGTCCAATCTTCTGTTGTTTGTCTCCGAATTCTACATACTGTTTACTGTATGGGCTCTTACCTCTTGTCCAATGCAATGCCTCTAAAATATCTATCATCGTCCTGACTTTTCCCCATCCAAGTTGAATGTTATAACGTCTTTGACAGTACAACATCTTAAAATTGCATATGATTTTCCATCTTATCATGCTATGAATGATGCCAAGACTTTTTGCTTCTCTTGGTGGCCTATTTTTTATCTTTATTTCAATTAAAGTAATAACTATTGGTGCAACAGGCCAACAAATTTTACGATATGGAACTCAATCAAGTGATATACGAATAGCATGATTCATGGAGCACAAATACAATAAATTAATGTTAGGCATAGAGCTTGTGATTCTATCTCGGAAGATATCTAAGTTTGAAAAGTCTATTCTGACATGGTCATAGTTACTTAAGCTATGACATTCATGCTTATCACATTGAAAACAAATTTCTTGTAGGATCAATTAACCTTTCTCTACCGGAAACAATAATATCTGGAATGGTGTAGAACTGGTGCTGGAAGAAATTGTCTGAGAATTTTGAATGAATCTGTCGGAACTCTTCTGAATACACAGACTTACTCTATGAACATTGAACTTGGTGCTTTCTATGTTCATTGAACTAATCAGAAAAGCAGATTGCTCAAAGAAAATAGCCAAATTTCTTGCACAATTTTACCACAGAAAATTAAAGAATTGTTAAAAGATAGGTAGGTGACGATGACATCAAGCCACAACCAATCCACATTAAGCACAACAAATCTCTTTGTAAGGGGATTGCAACATCTAAAACTGATGTTCACAGCCTACTTAACTTTCAGAAATTCTTTCTCCTGGCAAGAAATTAACGGTACATAAGACTTTTGCTACTTCTAAGACCATTTCCCCTCTTTGTTTAAAATGATTACCAGCAATTGTTTAAGACCAGTTTGGTCTACTTTACATAGGTTTATTCATATTCTGTTCTATGAAGATAGGGTGTAAATGAACCTAAAATGAACAAACTTTGTTATGTTAGTAATCCATTTGTTTAATTAACGAAACTGAATGCTCTCTTTTTTACAATGCTCTCTTCTCCTTTTATTATACTTATTATTCACTATTTTAATTGTAAAAATGATTTCCGGGAATGACTGCTGCAGGCCGCCTATTGAACCTCTCCAGGAAATCAGTTAATTAATTCAAAAAAATAGCATGCATTACTTGAGAAGAAGTCATGCAAGAAAAGTCTTGGAAAGATTCTAAGAATTGTGGTTTTGTATCTGTGGATAAGTTGACACAGTGCAATCTCAGATACATGCACAGTCAAACACATTTCTTTTGATTTTTGTTTTAAAGTCAATATAGTTAAATAAACAAAGATAACATTTTGTATGTAATGATTGACCGGTTCCATTGCAATTTACTCAAGCAAACATGGGAAGAGTAAATTCGATGAGGATAGAGGCGCAGAGTTGCTGAAGAATGGTTCACTCATATTTTTTTAAAACATAATCACTGCAGACTTGGTAAATTTTTCATCTGTTTTTTTTTTTTTTCTCAAAAGAATAATTAAATAATGAAAACGAATAGACCTGTTCAGTGAGTGCCATCTATAAATAGCGTGCTCTCATGCCAGATCTCTCACTCCTCACCAAGCAACAAAACTTAGAACAATTTAATCAAGAAAGCTGCCTTACAACAATGAAAGGTGTTCACTTCCATGTAGCATTTGTCCTGTTGGCTCTAGCTTTCACATTTGCCTCTGCCTTTGATCCCGGCCCTCTTCAGGACTTCTGTGTAGCAATTAATAGCACCAACGATGGTGGTATGTTCTTTAATTCTCTCTCTGTCTTCTTTGGAATGTATTCATGTCAACACCTTAACTATTTGAGAAGTGTTATCACATTTTCTGCATGGAATTGTATCAAAGTGGTAATATTTTTGTTTCCATTTATGCAGTTTTTGTTAATGGCAAGTTTTGCAAGGACCCAAAGCTCGCCACCGCAAATGACTTCTTTTTCCCCGGGCTCAACATTCCACGAAATACAGCAAATCAACTAGGATCAAAAGTCACTCTAGTCACTGTTGAACAAATACTAGGACTTAACACGCTTGGCATATCTCTTGCTCGACTTGACTTTGCACCCAATGGTGGCCTAAACCCCCCTCACACTCATCCTAGAGCCACAGAAATCCTAGTCGTTTTGGAGGGCACACTCTACGTTGGCTTTGTTACATCCAACCCGGATAATCGTCTCATCACCAAAGTCCTATACCCAGGAGATGTTTTCGTTTTCCCAATCGGTCTCATTCACTTCCAGTTCAACATAGGGAACACCAATGCTGTTGCCATTTCTGGTCTTAGCAGCCAAAACCCAGGGCTTATCCCCATTGCAAACGCAGTCTTTGGCTCAAACCCTCCCATCAATCCTGATGTTCTTGCCAAGGCCTTCCAGTTGGACAAGACTGTGGTTACCTATCTTCAGTCCCGATTCTAGTGAGATAACAACTAGAGGAAAATTTATACACCCATGAAATTTATTTAACAGCTTGTTCGGAATAATGTTTGACTTGTTTCTGTCATTGAATTTAGTGTAATTCTTGGGTTGGAATATATAAAATAAAAAGGTTGCTTATGTTCTTTGGTTTATGCAAACCTCTCTGTATTTCATTTTGATTATTTAATATGGAGTATTGCAATTTGCTTTTAGTTTGGGCCCACCCCTTCTTCATCTAGGGAAATGAATGCATGACATGATTGGCCACGTATAGTTTAGTGAAGTTAAAACTTTTGGATGCCTGAATGGCTGATGCAACAATATCTAAATTTACCTTCACATCGCGTTTTGAATTACTTATGCAACAATATCTAGAATAGTTAATAAATGAATAATGACCTTGATCCTTGTTGAGACTTGAGACTGTTCCCTTCATAAATTAAAAACTAACATTGTAGCAGCCACTGGATGCAAGCTTTATATGCAATTTCCATTTAAACAGGAAATGTTTGATTTGTTCCGCCAATTGGAATTCTTATGGAACTTTCAAACTGTCGCTATCATGTATTATTTTATCCAATCCTGCAAAAACTTATGAAAGATTATTTGATTTCTTTCTGATTGAAGCAAAGAATAATTTTTTTTTTACAAAAGAAGTCATAATCCGAAGATAAAGGAAAAAATTATAAATGTTAGGATTTTAAATTAATTAGCTGCATAAACTAACTATACTAATTGTCGAGTTCAAGAAAAATTTTTTCGAAACTATAAGAACTCGTGACAATTGCTAATATATCTTATTGTTGGCTCAAATTCAACCTAACGAAGATCATGTGTTTTTACGAGTTTCTCTAAATAGAGGAGTTATGAGATTTAGAATTCATGGAAAACTTAGTCCTCGTTATGTGGGTCCATTTGAAATTCTTGATAAGGTAGGAGATGTGACTTACAGATTGGCACTTCCACCTTCTTTAGCTGGAGTACATAATGTGTTTCATGTCTTAATGTTGAGGAAGTATTTTCGGACCCAAGTCATGTAGTGGTGTTAGCACCTTTGAGACTTAGAGAAGTTTGTGGCGTAATGAGCATCCCATACGCATTGTTGATAGAAAAGAGCAGGTTTTGAGAAGAAGAACTATTCCCTATGTTAAGGTTCAATGGAGTAACCATACTGAAAGAGAAGCAACTTCGGAGTTAGAAGAGAAAATGAAAGAGAAGTATCCTTACCTTTTTGAGAGCCAAGGTTTGAGTTTAGAGGACTAAACTCCTTTTAAAGAGGGGAGGATGTAATACTCACAAAATTAGCATATAGTTTGAATGTTCTATTATATGATTTATGGCTTTTAAAAAAAACTCATTTCTTAAAATTTTATTTTCAGCTTATGTTTTGCCATAATTAAAAATTTGACACAATAGGATTTTTTATTTGGAATAAAAATTATTTTATTAAAATATCTTTTATTATATCGATAGTTTTGTTTTATGATGTTTATTTTTATCAGAAAGAAAAGTGGGGAGTTTGGGAGAAACTAACCCTCGAGAAGAAAAAGAAAGGAAGAGGAAGGACAAATCAATCTTAAAAACATAGATTTATGACAAATTTTGCTTAAAACTCTTGAAATTTTTATGTGTTGAGCAATTCTCTACAATCCCTGACCTATATTATTATATCTTTTCATCTTAAAAAAAATTCCAACAACTTTCCAATGACAATCCTATGAAATTGTGGATACTAATGAAAACTTCAAGACCTTTCTAATGGTATGTGTGGCTTTTCATTTGGTTGAGTAATTTAGGAGAATTTAACATTTAAAGTTTTTGACTTTTGGGTTTTTGATAGTTACAAACACCTAATTTTGAGCCACCGGAACTCTCTGCTCTGATGGCCAATTTGATCGATCTTTAGGTACTTTTGATAGTAAAAATGTCAACTTTCTAGCCGTAAAATTGGTTTTGTTCAGATGATATTTAGGCCATAAGAATCAAAACCCCAAAGTAGGCTTCACAAATCTAAAACCTTGAAAAATCTAGGCTATTTGTGATAATTTATGAAATCTTGACCTAAGAGACTTAGTCTTTGCGAAATCATTTTTGCCGAAACAAAATTTTTAGATGTAGTATTACATTCTTTCTTTAAATTTGTGCCTTCTTTTGTCACAAGGAACTGTGGAATATTTGAGATTTTGTAGCTCAAAGTAAGTCAAATGCTCATACAATGCTAAAATTTCAGAACTTAGAAAGTTCTATTTATAATTATTTTAAAAATTATTTTCAGCCAATATTTGATATATTTATTATAAATCACATAACTTTTAGTTATATTATTTATAATGAATTTTTAATTATTTTAATTTTTTTACTGTATTAATTTTATGTTAATATTCTTGTTAAAAAACTATTAAGCTAGATTCAAACTTATAAAAATAACTACTATTAAATATTAAAATTAAATATTTATAAAATTTTATATTGCTATTAATTTTTCTGTTTTTAATTCTTAATTTCATATTTATACTCAATTTTAGATGTTATGCTATATTAAAAGAAAATTGGTTTTAATATACTAAAAATACTTTCATATAGTTTCAATTAGTCGTGAAGGTTTTCACATAACTCAATTTGCTTAGGATGACAAGTGGAAGGTCTGCCTTATTAAATTTATGTTTTTAGGGTTAAATTCTTATTTTTGAATATTTTTTGAATTATTAGGACACAAAAAATTTGTGTGATTTGTTGCTTAAGTGTCGATTTAGCGTATCATGTAAATAACTAGACATCCCTTCGATTTTTATGTCCCTAAAAGTCAGCCATAAATAATTTCATATTAAGTATGCTATGAATGCTATTTTGTCCCTTATTTTGTTAAATCAGGTTAAGCATGAAATTATATATCTTTGTTTCAGTTATGAAAAATATCTCCATAAATAATTATGTTTATCTCCATAATGTGATTTTCTCATGTAATTTAGTTTTGCAAGAATTATAGATATGCCTTTGATTTTGAAAGCTTTGTTGGAGATATGAAAATGAAATTATGTTCATGTCGGGTAATCAAAGATTCCTTGTTTTTAAGTGTCTCCCAATATAGGATGTTTTGATCTTGCCAATAGGGGTTACATGTTGGCAATGTTGCAAGTATTCTATGATTAGAAATCGGTTTCAAACCATGCCACTAGTTGAAAATAGTAGTTTTTGTTCATTGTACCTCCGATGATATACTTTTGTCTCATTACACTAAAGTAGTTACTGTGATTTTTATTCAATCGCATTGCACTAATGAGTTATGATTGTTCAGCGCAACCACCCAATTGTTTCTAATATACATATGTCCCATTACACTAACGAGTTAACCATGACTATGATTTTGATTCTGACCTATGTTATCAGGGTTAAAGATGGCCATAACTTGTAAAAGAAGATAGATTTATAAAATTAAAATTGTAATATTTGTTGAGTTTTGTTATTCTAGCTTATGATTTTGAAACAAGATATTTCGTAAATGTATTATTACCCTAAAATTTGAAATTGGTCTTTAATTCTTTTATTTTAATCTAAATGTTTTACTCATGATCAGCCCAGCTGAGAGGATGTTGGTTGCTTATTGAAGGGTTGTATTCGCTCTTTTCTTTAACATTTTTACAAGTTCTAATTTTGATTATGCTCACAACAATCTCGAAGAGTGATGTTTCAAAACTCTAGTTACCATTTCAAGACTTTTAGGATTCTTTTAAATATTTAGAAGTTCAAACTTTTATAATTAGTGGTTTATGACTTTAATTAAACTAGTTTTAGGTACATGTGTGATGTACGTGTAATTCTTATTTCTAAAAATTTATTAAAATTTATTTCAATAAATAAATTTTTTATACTCTAATAATAACAATAAATACTAATAATTTAATTTTGATTTTGATATAATATAAATAAAATTTGATAATTTTTATATTTTGATTTTGATAACTTTTGATGAAATTTTGATAACCATTGATATAATTTTGCTAATTTATGATAAAAGTTTAGTAACATCTTGATATAATTTTAATAATCTTTTAATAACTTATGATATATTTCAAGTAACTAAAGTAAAATTTATGTCATCATATATTTAACAAAAAATTCTTGTAGGAAAACGTGAGTTCAATTCTAGCAGTATAAGATAATTTTATTTTTATACAATATCATTATTGTTTTATTTAAATTTAGAATTTTTGTTTTATAAGGGGTCGTTTGGTTATGTTTTCGTTTTTTGTTTTTTGTTTTTTGTTTTTTTTTTTTTTTAAATTGAAAACAAAAACTTGTTTGGTAGGTTGTTTTTGTTTTCTATTTTTGAAAACTAAAAATAAAGTTTTTGAAAGTTTTGAAAATTGTTGAAAACAGAAAAATAGCTTTTTAGTTTTTTGGAAACAATTTGGCACTATTATCATGCGGGCACAATTCACAAAAATTACAATTAAATCACTAGAATGACATTACAATTATTATATTAATAAAATAATATTTTTATTATATAAATATTATATTAATAATTATTATATTAATAAATAATATATTATATTAATAAATAATATTATAATATACTAAAAATAATAATTTTATAATTAATATTATAATATATTAATAAATAATATTATTATATTATTAATAACAAACAAGCCTAAAAGCTTTAACCACTTTCTTTTATATTTTTTGTTTTCACATTTCTAAAATAAAAAATTATATCCAAACATGTTTTCAAATTCAATAAAATGAAAATCAAACAAAACCAAATTTTCAAAAACATAAAATATAAAACATATAACATATAACAATACCATATGACCCTTAAATTTTTTTATTGAATAAATTTATGATAAGTTTATCCAGTCTCCCAAGATAAAATTTCTAACTCTATTTTTGCTAGTAACCAAAATTCAATTCCTAACAACTTTAAGTATAAAAAATTTTATCAATGATTGACAATTAAGTTATAATTGATTTATTATTATGTTATAAGTTATTTACTATTAAACTACAATGATATACTACTGAATTATCAATAATTTATTACTAAATTAGCATTGATTTACTAATTATTTATGAATAATTTACTATTAAATAATGGCTGATTTACTATTAAATTATTGATAATTTACTACTAAGTTATTGATGATTTGTTATAAAATTATAACTAATTTACTATTAATTTATCGATGATTTACTACAAAGTTTTTAATAATTAACTAATTTTCTACTAAATTATCACTTATTTACAACTAAATTATTAATAATTTACTACTAAGTTATCAACAATTTACATTTAAATTATTAATGATTTACTATTATGTTATTATATATTTACTATTATGTTATCATTGATTTACTACTTAATTTTTATTATTTACTACAAAATCATCACAGATTTATTACAAAATTAACTATGATTCATTATCAAGTTATCATTCATTTATATTAAATTATTCATGATTTACTATTAAGTTATCATTGATTAACTATTAAGTTATTAATGATTAACTACTATTAAGTTATATTAATTTACTT